TCCAGAAGAAGTATAAAAATAGCCCATGCTTTGTTGTCTCCCACCTGGAATGTTGGTAAAATCAGGGTCCTATTTTTCTTTGTTTAGTACATGGTTGCAGAGACAAGAGGAGGGCTAGAGAACAGACTGACAATTTCATAGATTAGTGTAAAAGAGATAGGAACTACTTTTTACAATGGCAAGGTAATAGTCTTTGATAGAAACAAAAGCATGTATTGGCTAAAACCCAGAGACAGGTTTGCTGCCTTTTTCTTCTTCCTCTTCTCCCTCCCCTCCTCCTCCTCCTCTTCTTCATCTTCTTCTTCTTCTTGTCTCGCTATGTCCCCCAAGCTGGTCTCGGGCTGGTCTTGAAATTCTAGGCTCAAGCAATCCTCTTACGCTGGCCTTCCAAAGTGCTGGGATTACGAGCATGAAACACCATGCCCAGTCACCTTGACACTCTTAAATCTTACATGCTCTGACTTTTACATGTATGAACCAAGCCCCTTTTAAGGCTCTGAATCTAATTTTGTACTTAGAATTTTTATTTTAATTTTTTTTGAATTGGAGTTGCACTCTGTTGTCCAGGCTGGAGTGTAGTGGTACACTCATGGCCACCCCAGCCTCTACCTGCTGGGCTTAGGCGATTCTTCCACCTCAACCTTCCAAGTAGCTGGAACTACGAGTACGTACTACCTTGCATACTATTTTTTGATTTATTGTAGAGATGAGGTCTCATCAAGTTGCCCAGGCTGGTCTTGAACCCTCATGTTCAGGCAATCCTCTCGCCTCAGTCTCACAAAGTGCTAGGATTACAGGCTGAGCCACCATGCCTGGCCTGATTTTTTTTTAAAGCAGTCCCTTCCCCTATGTAAGTTTCAGGAATACAAAGCCTAGATTTAGCTCCAAAAGCCTGTTTGCAAAAGGAGCACAGCTCCGCTTATTCCCCAATAGAAAAGCAATGTGTCTCAAAAAACAGTGTGTTTGGCTTTTTATTTTTTAATCCCCTAAAAATGGCAGAAAAGGTTGTTACAGGTACATTAATGATGGTTCCTATGGGCTGAAAACATTTGGTACAATAGTACAACTTGCCTAGTAGTAGGTTGTGCTGTCCCACTTAGAGGTGAATTGCTTGTATGTAACCATCAATTCCATTGAGGGCTTTGCCAGTGGGGCTTATGTAATATTTGTATTTTCATTACTACATTTATCAGTCAGTAACAACTGTCAGGTTGAACCCTGTAGAACTGCCAATATTCAACAAATTTTGTCCTACAAAAGCAGCAGTTTAAAGTAGCACAACTTAATGTTGTTCAATCATATGTTAATTATAAACACAGAGGCTGGTAACATAGCTATGAAAATAGCTTAGTTGTTGTTTCTAAACAAAGTTGCTTTCAAATTCTACACCAGAGTTATTTTAAAAAAATAAAACACTAGTTACAATAGTAAGCCACATATGTAATGTTAAATTTTCTAGTAACCATATTAAATAAGAGAACAAAACAGATAAACTCAATTTTAATAATGTACTTTATTTAATCCCATATATTTAAAATAGCATTATTTAGACATTTAATCAGTATAAAAAATCATTAATGAGACATTTAAAATTTTACATTTTTGTAGTACTAAATCTTCAAAGTCTGGTGTGCATTTTATACATCTGTCATATCTCAATTCATATTAGCCATACTTCAATTTCTCAGTAGCCACATGTGGCCAGTGTAATGGACAATGAAGTTCTAGACAATCTGAGTGGTTCTGGACAAGTAGTTTAACCATTCTGAGTCTGCTCCTTCTCTTTAAAGTTCGAGACCAGCCTGGGAAACAGATATAAAAACATCTACATCATAGGATTAAATGTGACATTAAATAAATTAGCAGAGAACAGTATCTGGTAGATGCTCAGCATACTGTAGTTATTATCATCATGTTAGAGAGAGGGTCACTCAGTTAGCCACTGTGTCTCTTTTATTTTGAGTTTTAGTCATGGACTTACGGCTTAAAATGAGCATTTCCCCTGTATTTTAAATAATTTCTTGTCAGTCCTGTAATCAAAAGATTAACAAATAGAATAGAGCTATAGAATATTCTGAGGAACAACTGATGGCTTGATCAATCTATGAGATAAGGATCTGGAGGTTTCACACGTTTAGCATCAAGATGGAGACGTATAGGCCCAGGTAACATTCTGAAAGTACAAAGTTCATTACAACAGGATTGCCAAGAAACCAAAAACAGAACAGCCTGGGAAATATTTTTAAGGTTACCATTTACTGATCAACAACTGCAGACTAAACACTAAGTAAAGTACTTTTCATGTGCTCATTCACTTAATAACAAGGGCACTAAAACAAGCAGCCAAAACTCTGTAGAGCTAGTATTCTCATTTTCATTTTAGAGATAAAGACATGGAGACCCATGGTGGCTGACACAGTCAATAAGGCTGTGAGGTGACTCTTTTCATCTCTATGATTCCATGATACTTTCATCAGTTAGATACAATGTGAGCTGGGGTGATGGGCCTGGGACTGGCCACGCTGCACAGAAGCATGAATTAAGTGGTTTAGCGTGAAATACTTCCCTTGATAAGTTGACTACAAAAGATAAAGCACAAATGAGACTGTAGAAAAGAGAATCCTCCTCTGTTCTACCACAAATTGACAGTTTATTTCTATGTGATGTCTGGACAATAAAACAAGCACAAACTGGTTCTTGTATTAGATAAAGCAAGACAACCAGATTTAATCACAGCTACTTTTACATTTAGGTAACAATCAAGGAAATGGGGTGGGTTTTTTGGAAAGAGAGAGAGAGAGAGAGAGAGAGAGAGAGAGTGTGTCTGTGTGTGTGTGTGTGTGTGTGTGTGTGTGTGTATGTGTGCGCGCGCGCTCGCGCGTGAGTGCATGCTTGCAGTGGTAGAAGTGAAACTGAGAGACGAGTAGCTGCTTCCAAACAACCAACCCCAAAGAGTACGTGGCTCTTGTTATATCTGGCTGGCTCAGCAACTATCCAAGTTATGGGGCTACAGGGGATACTGTCTAGACCAGTTCTTTTGGCCCTGGGGTTGGCAGAACATAGAACCAGAAAGCCAAAGCATGGTGCAAACATCGCTCTGCATTTTTTCTGGTAGACGGTCAAGCTGGATGGAAACTAAATCTCACACAATTACCAAATAGCAATAAACAAGACTGCAGAGGGTTTTCTTCCATCCTTGACAGATATATTCTAGCTCCAGAGCTCTAAAGTTTGACATTTCTGAAATGACGATCCTTAAGGGAAAAAGCACAAAGGGCAAATTTAAAGGTGGTACGATCTTTCCAGCTTGAGAATATTCTCATTGCATCACAGGTGTTTTCTAGACTCAATGATGGCACTGATAGGAAAAAGACATCATATCATTGAAATAATTTATTTACCACTAGAGCACCACAAAAACAGACATACATTGTGTTAAAATACAGCGTAATTGGTCATCAAAATAACAAAACAACTATTCTTTATTCCACTTTTAAAAACCATGCCAACCATAAAATTGTACTGCTGCTTAACACAGAAAAATTGCTGCCCCACCTGCATACTAATTCTTCTATTCCCTCCCACTTCCCCTCCCCTCCCATGGAAATATTTACTTGTGAGAAATAAAGACCTTATAGAATCCCAAAATTTAAAAAAAAGATTCAAGAGATCTTAAAATAGAGCATTTGAAATATTATCAGTGCATTCATGAGGAAGACAAAATAATACAAAACAAAAAATGTTATCCTATCCGAGAGGAAAATACCTGCAGAAATAAAAGTGATTTACACAAAATTAATAGAAAAGTGGAAGACAAAATAAAAATAATGAACACACACTCAAATCTGGGATTGGGTTACATTGAACACAAGGGTTTTGTTTGTTTATTTGTTTGTTTGTTTTACTATTGTGGCATCCCATCTCTTGCTTTTCTGGTTTTCAAATCTTAAAATCCAATTCTTCACCTGAATCAATGGTCAGGAAATTCCAAAAAAGAAGAATACCGTATCAAACAACTTCACTTTGTATTCACACCTCCCTATGCTGCTCTGTAGGTGAAATGACAAATATTCCATTGTTTTGCCTATTAATATCTATTTTAAAGCGAAATAAGTGACAAGTGACAAACTGACATATTCTACAAACCCCAACAAGGATACCACCTCTGCAATGATGTGGCAAATTATTTATTAAAGCAAGGTAAACTCAAGCCTCAGATATGGATAACTCTCACTCAGAGGAAAGAAATAAGCTTTTTATCATAGGAGAACTTGACTTGTGCCTTTTCACCTTCAAAGAACATTATAAAAACCTTAACTTCAGTGAAATAAACAAAATGACTTACACTGACCTGGACTGTTATCCCTTTTAAAGCATGAACTAAAATTAGGTATTTCAATATCCTCCTGAACACTAAAAACCTGATTAAAGGAAAAAAATGTTTCCTATGAATTGTTTGATTTTTAATAACAATAGAGTTCTGTAAAAATACTGATTAAACTAATGTAGAGAAACCGTTCTTAATTCTGTCATCAAGATTCTGAATTTTAGTCAGATCCTTAACCCATTGTTAAAACTAAAACATTTCACTACAATTATCTATGAATCAACAACATTCCCCATTTTCCTAACATAAAAGTTTTTTAACATCTGACTTAGTTGGTTAGTTAATGATGCTTAGAAGATGAAGGAAAACTATGGAACTTGAATCTATCATCTTTGTGGGAAAAAAAAAAAAAAAAGGACAAGTGGACCCAGGTAGCTTATGTCATAATAATGAACAATACACAAAGCACAAGTAGGGCAAATACTATAAAAAATGCATTTGTAGTGCAAGTCAAAATATAGGGGCTTTACTCAAAAGTACTGGCCAGCTAAAGGAAATATACAATTGTGAGTGATCATTAAAAAGAAGCCAAATTTAAGTCCAATCTAAATCATAGTTGACATTATTACAGAATATAAAAAATATGGTAAAAATTTACACATTACACATAAGGTAGTTAATGTTTTGACTTAATAGTTTGCAAAAGAGATCTGCAGATGTGTTTTCAATTATGCTGGCTTTTATATCCATCTATTTTAATAATATAGGTATGGTTACATATACCAAAACAAAGGAAAAAACCTATGGCATAGCTATACAGCAATACTTTAAGGTCCAAAGTTTGACCAGTACATGTCAAAACATTTCAACATTCCACTGGTTACTAAACTGACAAAGAACCATTTACAATTAAAAGGAAAAAAAAAAATCTTACAGACTTATTCTGACTGAAAGTTTCTTTTATTAGCAGGCTTTTTAGTTTTTGAACCTTACAAGAAGCTTCCGTAGGCAGTTGGTACATAACATGTGTTTTCAGGGTCTTTATCTTAATGCAGACTTGCTCGGTCATATAATAACTCACTTGGGTTTTCATCCCATTAATATGACCTCTTTTTTTCTGGCTCGTTTGAGTTCAAGTTCCTTAAGCCATCCATGAGTTTCTGGCAAAGTATTTGGTCTCCACTTTATACACCTGTTTTATTTTCCAAGGGCAATGAAACGTTCATTATATAGTAACACACAATAAATAACTCACTGTTAACTCTAAGAGTAGAAGAGTGCCTATTGCATAGCAATACAGAAAAATCAAGTGAGGCATGGGATAGGAACGGTACAGACAGCAACTCCACTTAACGGGATTTTCCTGTTTTGTTGTTGTTGTTCACATAATTAACGCTAACAAATTCTTCCAGTGTTTTTTTTCTTTACAAAAAAAAAAAAAGATTTTGCTTCTTGTCTCTCTCACTTACAAAGTAGGTGAAATGTAGAATAAGGCCTTCAACTTTTTTGTTTCAGATGCCAGTTTTAACAAACAGAACACAAACTTCCAACGTGTTTGAATTAGTACCGCTTTTCAAAAATGTTTAACACTGATGAACCAAGGCTTTCATATGTGTTCTTGTTACAAACATCATCATCGTTGTCGTCATCATTATCTTTATCATCATCATTGTGATTTTTGTCTTGCCACTTTCCCAAAAATTTTAGCTGCATTTGCAAGACTTTACGATCATATTAGAAAGCTGTTCAATCTTGGGTGTTTTGCCGACATAGTAGAGAATGGTCAGCGGTTCTAAATCTTGAGACACGCAGCAAGGAGAAGCAGATGCTTCTGGATTTACTGAATTATATAAGCCAAGGACCTGAAAGGCATAGGAGAGGAGAGACAACATAAGGAAAGACAAAAAAAAGCAACTATTTTAAAAAGAACTATTCCATATTGCTATTAGTCACAGCACTGAGTAGATAATTTTAACTATTTTTGGTTTATAATGTCCCTTTCTTAACTCTAAATTATGGTCAAATTGCTATTTGCCTTAGCGATCACCAAATTCAGTCTTTTCCCACATGGAATGCTTTAAAAAAAAAATACATCTTAAACAAATGATTCTATTAAAGACAGATTAGATAAAATTGCTCATTCAACAGATTTTCCAATAAGTCTACACTACACTCTGATCACTGCTTTGGTACACATAGTCCCTGGACCCTGCAAAATTTGATCCTCTCAGTATGTGGTTTTGTTTCTATACTACTCTGTAAATGAAGTTGTTTCCTGAGTATATACTTTCAATTCTAGATTAAGAGTTTCCTCCTGGTCAGGGACTCCGTAGATTTTGTTTTTACCTTACAATCCTAGTAAGTCTACTCTGGACAAAATAAGACTCAGGTGCTAGGTGAAAAATGAATGCATGAATAAGTAGAAGAACAAAACATTTTATTAAAGCTCTCATCAGAGCTTTAATCTATCCTTGGGTATAGAAAAAGACACCTGTCAGCAATGTGAAATCTTTCCATGTTAAGTGTCTTCTTAGGCCAATTTAATGTCACCTGAATTTTTGTTTTAAATAAATAAATAAGTCTTCTCATTTACCAATGCTTATACAATGATGCTAAGAATGACATTAAGCAGACTCTATTCATAAGCATCACTTCCTTACATTTTGCTGAAAATAACAACAACGATAATAATAAGAACAATCAACCCCCCATTAACCTTCCATGTGGTAAATGGCAGTGACTGAGTTGGAAGAGTGAGTCCTAAAACAGAATGAAGAGAAAGTTCTAATAGTTTGTCCTGTATAACCCCGTTCTATATCAGAGAGGTGTGTGACATTTACTAATTGAAGTATGTAGGTTCCCCACTGATGATACAGAGACATTTCCAAGGATGCCATTAATGTGTTAGTCAAACAGCAAGTGACCTTTTCCTCGAGATTCACTGCAATTTTTTCAGCCTAAGACAGAAGACCTGTTCAGTGCAGCAACACTGACTACTTTATTAAGCTACCTCTGGCTTTTTGGGTAACTGTCCAAACCACATATTTGTGACCATGACAGTTATTCTTCCTCTCTCCCTGAAAAACAAGCATGGTCTCAGCCTTCACACACTCCCTCTGTGTATCAGAGAGGAGAATTATGTTTCTACTTGGCAACAGGGCCTTGTCCACATTACAGCTACTGGTGCCGCAGCCCAGATGAGGCAGCCTGGCCAGAGAGCTCAGACAAAGGGACAGGCATGAGCAAGCTTCCCTCACATGGCCAAGCACACGGTCACCCCAGAGTGCCAAAGTCTACAGGGGAGTTGGGAGAACAGCTGATGGAAGGGGAGCCATGTTTGTCAACTTAAATTCCAGCATATGCAGGCATTAATAAAGAAATAGACTCCATATTCCACAAACACATTATTTTTCATATGAACTAAAGAGAAACTACTATAATATAGATTATCTAAAATAATTGATAACTCCCAAACTCTTGAATTCAGCTGAATGCCTTATGTGATCTTTATGGCAGCAGATTCATTTTCCTACCCTGCAGTGAAGGCAATTTTTCTAATGCCTCTTTATTAGGGAGATTTACAGAGGCATAAGGAGCAGAATAGAAACCCTCACGTGTAGCCACATTTTAGGAATTAAACCCAGTAAGACAGAGCAAATGGAGGCCTGGTTATAAAACAAGGAGGTCTGCGTTTGTCACTTTTATGTTTTTTGTTTTTTTTAATCATGGGCATCATCTACATGATCTAGATTCCAATTTCTTTCGAAAAATGAAAGGTTTGAATAACATAACTTATAAAGTCTATTCTAATTCTAAAATCCTACATTACAAGCTATCAGGAGAAAGCATATTGACAAATAGTATTACATAGGAAAAGTTTACACTAATCCAGTCTGGGAACTCATAGTATCCAGTCTAGAACTTACCTTCGGAATTCACCCTCTGTCCTCACTGTAGTAATGAAAAAAACTCAGATTCTCATTTACTTTAGGCTACATTTAAAAAGACATAGAGAAACTGATTTTCAAATCATTTTCATATACATCTTTTTGTACTTCAGGTTTGGCATTATTATTTTAAGGATATCTTTTAATAAATACATTCATTTTTACTGATAAGAAACTGAGGTTCAGAGAAGTTAAACTATTTTCTAATTGTCATATATTAGTAAATCACTATGCCAATCCATTGAAATCCTGAATGTCCTTTCTAAAGATGGCAGTCCCTGATGGAGGTGATAACAGACCTGTTTTTTAAGATGGAGCCTTGGGTCCCTTCACACTTTAGCTATATATGACACTATGTGATGTGCTGATTCAACAGGTTTGTTTATTTATTTTGCTACCTATTTGTGTTTATAGTTGCTAAGAATACAAAACTCATGGAGGTAGGGAGTAGAAAGATGGTTACCAGAAGCTAATGGTAGAGTACAAAAATACAGTTAGAAAGAAGGATTAAGTTCTAGTGTTTGACAGCACAGTAGGACGACTATAGTTAATAATAATGCATTGTATATTTAAACATAGCTAGAAGAGAAGATCTGAGAATGTGCCTAACACAAAGAAATGATAACTTTTTGAGGTGGTATATCTCCTGATTACTCTGATATGATCATTATACACATATTGTACACACATATCAAAATGTCCCATAACTAGGTACAACTATTATGTATCAACAGAAAGCATTTTTTAATAAAAAATATAAAATAAAGAAAAAAATCAAACTTTTCTCGAATTGTTTATAATCAATTGGTAAGGCAAGACCTACTGTTTGAAACTGACCAGTGTGACTTTCTGACTTCACCTACAGCCTACATTCTTCCTTCTCATCTAAAAGGATTTCTCCAGCACCCGTTCATATGTGATGGTAAAAGAACACCAGGTTAAATACAATTCATTTGGAAATACGATCAGTAGGTATCCATTGGCAACTCAAGAACAGAAGCAACAAGTTAACCAAACACTTACCCTACTGTGTTGAGTGTCTGAACTCCATAAATATGGGCATGCTCCAGCACAGAAGTTGGCATTGTACCCTTTAGGCTCATGGATCCATTTCCACCCAAGATCCCTTTTGAAATCAATATAAAGTGGACGCAGGCAGCAATTATCCTGCACATTTCTGTTTTTTAAAAAAAAAGCAATAGAGATTTTAAAGCTGATTCACTACCCCACCCCACCCCCACATCACCCCAAACCAGAAAAATGACTCATTCATGTATTCAACAAACATCTAATGAGCAGATATCCTGGGCCAGGTTTTAATAGTTTTATTGTGCTTGCAAGTGATTTTCAGAATAGGGTGTTGTGGTGATTTGCTACACCAATTTCGCTTATGAGCTTGATACCCTGACTCCCTGCGACCTAAAAAGTCAACCCTTCCCCCTCAAATGACTAGATACAAGCAGAGAGCCACTGGAAGGGACCAAGTTCTTTCCAACTAGTGCTAGACAGTTTCTGCCACCCAGTCTCTATTCCTTCCAAATATAACATGAAATACAACTACAATTTTCAACAAACTATCTAAGGCATTTTTCTTTGAGAACAGATCCTTTATTTCATCATATGTTCTCTGATTTAGGCATAAACCAGACATTAAGAAACAGTCTTGCTGAGTGCAACCACAGGCCCTCAAAAGCAAAAATTGCCACTTTACTCATGACCTCTTGGAACACTTCATCAGTAGGACCCTGCACTGTCCCATAACTCTCAAAGAAAGAGCCTTCCTCTTACCAATCTAAAACCACAGAAGAACACTCATATTCTCCCTCCATGAACTCATGTGGGAATGGGAAATACATTTTTCTCACTTTTATCATATTCTGTAGCTAAAGATGTGACAAATAGCATTTTTCTGCTGTCTCATCTCTGTTATTTTGAACACTCAAGTAAGAATAAGGGTGAAGTATTCATACAGATTGTAAGTCTTCCTTAATTAGAAGTCATCCTCATATATCTCAAACAAGTTTGTATTTGTTCTGAGTAGCAGAGAGCTCATTTTATTCTTCAGCACCAAAGCATTTCAAAGGAATTTAGGGAAAAAAATTGGGGGTGCTAGTTTTCTGTATTCACAGTGTGGTTTATTGCTAAAGAGCTGATGAATACAACCCAGAAATAACTGTTTTAAGTCTTTGGGAAGAACAATGCTATGAAATACAAGAGCTATACTGTATTGTTCCTGGTCTTAAGCAATGAGTACCATCCAGGTCAATATGTGGTAAAAGAAAGGGCAAAGGCAGTACTGGAGTTAACAATGTAATTACTTTGTCTTATTTTTACTTCCTTTACCTAAAGCAATAGGCTGCATCCAATGCACGCTTCTTCCGCCGGTTGGTCTGTTGTGACTCAAGTCTGTAGGAGGGCAATAACATTAGCAGGAGATGTGGGGTCTTCCCACTGTTTTTTTTCCTAGTGGACTTTATAGTTTTCTGATCACCACTGGTATATGTGGAGGTGCCATCAATACCTTGAAAAAATGCATTTGGGTAATAAACATTTAGCTTTACCTTCATCAAATATAATCAGTCATATTTTTTCCTTTGTATATTGTCACAAATAGCAGTGATGACCACCAAAGCAGCATCAGCTGGGTATAGTCATTCCCCGGGGAAATAGATATGACACAACAGGACTACCCCACGTGACAGTTAACATTTCTAAATGGGGCTCTTGTCCAAAGGCAGTTCAGTGTCAAAGGCAGGGCTGTTGGTTATGAAAGTCACTACAGAAGCAGTCTTTGACCTATGGTCCCAGGGCAAATTTGGCAGTTTATTTTAGTCAATCCTCAGTTTAGGCTGTGTTCAAACCCTCGACAACTGAACACATGGCAATAGAATATGCCTTGTCACCCGCTGGTTCACACTCTTCCTAAGACTACTAAACTCAAAAGACTTTTCTAATGAACATAAACTGAGACTTAGCTAAATTGGAGTGAATTAGGTTCAAGTGAAACAGAAGTCACCCTTACCTAATGCTATTTTGGGAAGCTGTGAAGAAAGGGCTTTTTCATTTATTTTATGGCATCCTCAACACTTTCCTGATTCCATCTGAGATTTAGAAACTTGAGCTCCCCAAAGCATGCTCAGGAGACTGCCAGTTTAAGCATTTAATCTCCACACTCCAGAGAATCATGACTAGGCTAGAGACTGAAATAAATCTCTAGACCTCTGGGAGTATTTTTCATGAGCAAGGGCCACTACAGCCTTCTAAAAGAGGATGGAGGTCCTGGGTGATGTTAGTAGGACAGGGAAAACAGCTCCTTGGCCTGGCACTGTGGCCTGATGCAGCATCAGCATGTGGGCACAGACTTTCCTCTCACCTCTCATCATCCAATGATTCATTATCTAATGCATGAGGTGACCTGAACCCTAGGCACCTCCTCATTCTCTCTGACTTTTGGCTAATTCACTTAAAGGTGAGCATGAAAGAAAGCTAAAACTTCTTAAATGTGTTTATAAATTATTATAAAAGTCTGCTAAGAAAGCCACTTGAAATGTTGGGTATGGGCTAGAAAAGGTGGAATGTTTCAATAATTGGAAGGTTAATTACGGAAGCTGTGGCATGAGGAGACTCCTTTCTTCCATGAAATACAGCTGTCCCATCCTGCCATTTGGTTTGGGGGTTTATCAGTGGCTTTTCTTAATGTGTGTTGTTTTTTATGATATCAGTTTAGATAGAAAGTGTGTTTGCTAAAATGAGAAATAAAGGTCTTAATTGAGTATTTAATAGTTTGAAGGGTTAATGAGTCAGTCAGTTAGTATTGACAAAGTCACCACTAGGTTTTGAGCAGTTGTAAACTGAGAACCAATTTCTATCTTCCAATTTTTTCTCCCTTCATATATTTTTATACAAACATATCATTGTCCAACTGAGTTAAACTATCCAGTTTTCACCAAACAATCCCATTTTCACATGCAAAGTGATTTTATCTCCCATGAGATTATCAACATAGGCCCCCTCTTTCCCCAACTTCTTATGAACAAGTTTCAGTTACCTGCAAATCTTGCTTCTAGCTCTTCACTTTTATTTGGGATGATGTAATTATTAGTTGGTACAAAAGTACAGCAGGGACAGTGTAAACTTATTTTAAATCCCAGGTTCCTGTCTGGAAAACATTAAGTCAAGGAGGTCATTTTACATGTGTTTTTAATCTGCAATCAATCTACAATAAGTTAAGGCTACTGAACATATAGAGAGGAAAAGAGAGAGTGGTTTGTAACCTTTATGGTGAAGCCATTCATGAACAGCGTCAGTTACGTCAAAGGAGAGCCATTCGCCTTCTGCTCTTGTTTTCACGACTTTGCTGTCAATGTAGCGCTGGGTTGGAGATGTTAAGTCTTTGGATTTGAGAATCTGGGGGTGGGGGGAAGAACAAGAGAAAAAGCTCATTTGGCACACTGACAGCATGACAAAACCAAAGCCATGAACAGTATTCCAATTCATTATCTAAATTTAGCTCCACTGAAGTATATCCATGTATTGTCATTTCAATAGCATGGCCACATGCATAAAAACATAGCACCAGGCCATTTGCCATGAAAAACAAAGCTACTAAATCAGCTGCATGTTATGATAAAGGTGACAGGAACCATAAAGCCAAATGTCTAAAAGAAAGTGACAGTAATTATTTAACTTTGCTGACATAAGCTTTGCAAGACTTCAGCCATAAATTCTATGCTATTAAGTTAATGGTTTTGTTGTTTTTCTTCCTTACTTATTTAATTTGGGGAGCTGGGGCACAGAGAGGGACAGGAGGAGAGGTCCAGTTCAGAGGACCCATGCTTACTCTCGAAGATCCTAAATTATAAAACTCCTTCTAAAAAAAAGGGAAACTGCTAGGGGAGGGAGGGACATACCTCATCAACAAGGGTACCTGCATGATCAATGTTGGTATACCTAATCCTGAATTGTACCCCACATCTTTATAACAAATAAATAAATTTTTTTTTAAAAAAAGAGAACAGTCTTAATCTAGGTTCCTAAATCCACTGGTATTAAAATATGTGTCATGCTTCAGCTTTTGAGGTAAGATGCTAGCCGAGATTTTTTTATTCTCAATGTGGCTTGTTATGATTTATTTATTTATTTATTTATTTATTTATTTATTTATTTATTTATTTATTTATTTTTTTTTTTTTGAGTTGGAGTCTCACTCTGTCGCCCAGACTGGAGTGCAGTGGCCGCTCCTGCTGGGCTCCGGCGATCCTTCCGCCTCAGCCTTCCAAGTAGCTGGAATTACAGGCATGCGCTACCACGCCCGGCTGATTTTTTTATTTATTGTAGAGATGAGGTCTCGCTGCCCAGGCGGGTCTCGAACCCGCGGGCTCAGGCAATCCACTCACCTCAGCCTCCCAAAGGCGCGGGATTACAGGCAGAGCCACCGAGCCCGGCTTGTTATGATTTATAAAGATATTTCATATCCTGCAAACTAAGAATGAATTTGGGCAGGTGCAAATTTGGTATAGTGGATATATGAGTGTCTGAAAGCATATCAGCCTGAACACTAAGACTTTGGGAAGATGCATTTATTTCAAATAAGGATTGAGCAACTTCAGTATGTTCTTGGGTTTCTATAGAAAGGGAACATTTTAGGTGGTTTAAAAAAAATTCTATATTGAAATAATAGTGTTTTATGAAGCAAACCATGATCCTAAGTCTCCTAGAGCTACAGTAAATCCCTGCCCAAATCTTGTATCCTGCCTTTCCTCAGTACTTAGGGGCTCAGGACCTGTCATTTTATACTGCCCTTCCTCATATTAAGTCTAACTGTTTTTGCAGACATTTCATACACATGGGTTTGGTCCTACCAATAAGTTCATAAGCTTCCCCAGGTCAGGGATCATGCCGCCAATTTGGTATCATTTCAAAGCACAGCATTCAAATGAATCAATGTCTATTAAATGATTATCTGAATATCTAGAAGACATATTAACTCTCCTCTAAACCGAAAAAAACAAAAATGCATACTCTTCCATTGATTTTAAAATGCACTTTCCTTTCATGTGTGTACATGATTTGCTTCAGGTAATTTGGCAACAAATGCTTCCTGAAATATTTGTCATTATAGTAAACTTTTTTTCTGGATTAAGTAAATTTAGAAAAAGGAAAGAGATTATACAATTGGACTCTTGGGTACCCTCATACATTTTAGACCAATCCTATTCTACAGACCTGCCTCCATGGTCTAGAAATCCCTAGTAAAAGAAGAGAATGTAGATGTAATCATAATTCCATCATAGGCAAGAAATGCTGTTTGTGAATTAGAGAAAGCAAATAAACATAACTTGGGGGCTGGGCGCACTGGGTTCTGGGCTTGGCACACATGATTCATTTAATTTAATCTTTGAAATATCTTTGTAAAGTAGACTAAGGAAACTGAAACTCAGGGAGGTTAAGTAACTCGCCCAATGCTACACAGTGAACAAGTGTGGAGAGAGGATTCAAAGTCATCCCAAGTCATTTTCCCACTTCAATGCTGGAGATTTTAAGGCCAAAAAAAGTTGTAGAAGTCAAAAATGAATCATGATTCACCCTTAACCCTTTCCAGATGGCAGAAAACCTTCAGTGGGAAGCAAATGTTTTTTAAATAAAATTAAAATCAGTGTTGGTACAAGATGAAAATATAACATGGTGGAATGCACACACAATGAATGCTGACATAAAGCTATAATTTTAAAGATACAGCTTAACAGCAGTCAATCCTCTGAGATTCAAACCTTGCCTTGAAAATACTCCCAGGTGGGCAAATAAGACACTACTTATCCAATTCAGATAAATGGTACAATTAGCCTAATATAGAGTAACAATGGTTGAAAACAATGAGTGAGAATAAGTTTTCAGGCATTTCCATCTGCCTCATTGGCTACAAATTAATAACATTCACAGAACTCATTTTTCAGTCCTTAAATTCTTCCCATAGCTGATCTGTAATGATGTATTATTACATAATGATTTGTATATTTACTGCGCTCCTAATTAGCACAGTGTACACCTCATTCATCTTCATATAGCTAACACTTAGACACACTACCTAGAACAAAACATTACTGAATTAATTTTAGATATATTATACATATCATATACCAAATGTCTATGACATATATATATATAGATATTCAGTCTCACTGAAGATACAGATTTTTTTTTAGATTGGAAACTATAGTTTATTTAGAAAGTAGATTGAAGAGAGAGAGAAAAGGAGAATCCACCTCCCCCAGGTTGGGGAGGGGACCAGGCTATAACTCAATGGAAGCATGGCCAGGCCAGAGCTTAACAAAAGCAATGGTAGCCAAGATACAGAATTAAAAAAAAAAATCATGACCATATTGGCCAAATGGGGAGAAAATGCATACACTGTTGAATTCTTTACCTTACAGAAAAGAAGAAAATCTTAGATGAACTTGCTTTAAATGGAGATCAAAGGGGAGCAAAGAGACTCTGAAGATTTTTCTCTTTTAAATCTCACTAGAATCAAGACTTAGAGATGAGGGCTTCCTCAACCACAGCACATTGGTAGGCTCAGACAATGGACAACTTCAATGGACAACTTGGGTGAAAGGTCCTCTAGGTCTTTTTACTCGTTCAAGCTTTAAGAGCAAGTCACATATAACCCACCAAGAAAGATGGTTAGTTAGCTACATAATTCTGAAACAGAGAAATGACTTTGGTCATCTGGGTTTGTCGTCTTGAACTTTATGGCCAAAGAGTTCTTAAACCTACTTGTTGCGATTTAACTCCATTCTTCTTATCCAGTCTTTAGTGGAAACAGGAAACAGCTGCTTTCCATCACTCAGAGAATATCCCTCATATTCTCAGAGACTATTATTAAGTCCCCCTCATTATGCTTGCTTGCTCTCTCTAAGCTAAATAAACCCAGTTCCTTTAGACCATATTTAGAGGGGCAATTTCCCAAACCTTTAATCATGTGGGTCACTAACAAGGATGAATGATTCTTTATAAATATATTCCTTCTACAGCTCCATGATTTTGCCTCAGAACTATCTAGAAAACCTTCTAATCACATCTTAAAGTCTTGACTCTTAACTTGAAGGGTATATTCTTCCTAAGAATAGGAACTACCAACCTGTTCTCTGTTGATTTCCCACTTATCACCCACACTAAATTGAACTGTAAGAGAAGGTGGCATGGGCAATCAACCTGCTGGGATTGTTCATTAGTACTTTCTTAAGTTCAAGAGTTTATACAAAAGTGACCAGATCAGTTCATTTCCCATACTGTTTTAGTCTTTGCTGTCTGCCTTTCTCCAATCTCTGAATAAGGTATTGAATGTTAGTAGTCGTGGATATGCAGCTGTTATTTTTTTCTAGATCTACTAGTTGTTTGTTTCTAAGTTGCTTTATACATCTTATAAGCACAAAGATAGTTTAATGGAATGGTAGAAGCTCTCTTAACTGGCCTTCATATAACTGGCCAGATTAACAAATATTCTCCATTCGTTGTACGTACTGGCTGAAGCTTCAGCACGCTGAGGATCATTGCTGGAAAGTTCCTCTCCAAGCACTTCTGGTCTTGACTTGTACGTTTAGCAAATATCAATTGTATACATGTCTAAACATGTTTATGACACATAGATTACTCACCATAATTATGCAAGATAATTAAATGGGCTAGAAACTGATGAAATACAAGACCAAAAGTAAAAAAGAGCTGTTTCTTCTGTGAAAAACAACTTGAAAATCTTCATGAAGACAAGTTGCTGTGAGAAAGAAAGTTTTTTTGGAAAACAGTTTGAAAGTTCCTCAAAAAGGCAAACGTCACATTACAATATGGTCCAGAAATTCCATTGCTAGGTATATATCCCAAAGTATCGCAAGTAAGCACTCAAACAGATACTTGCACATAAATATTCATAGCAGCATTATTCACAATAGCCAAAAAGTGAGAAAAAAATCCAAGGGTCCCTAAACAGATGAATGCACAAATAAAATTTAATATATTGATAAAATGGAATATAATTCATCTATAAAAAGAAACAAAATATTGACACATGCTACAACATGGATGAACCTTGAGGATATTATACTACAAGCTAGACACAAAAGGACAAATATTATAGATTTCACTTCCATGAGGTACCTAGAGTAGGCAAATTTATAGAGATAGAAAGTAGAGTAGAACTTACCAGGGGCTGAGGACAGAGAGTAATAGAGGGTTATTATTTAATGGGTACACAGTTTCTGTTAGAAACGTTTTTTTTAAGTTACAGAAATGAAGCTGGGCTCAGTGGCTGAGCCTGTAATTCCACACCTTTGGGAGGCTGAGGTGAGTGGACTGCCTGAGCCTGCAGGCTCAAGACCCACCTGGGCAACTTGGTGAGACCTCATCTCTACAAT